TGGGGGGGGGTTCGTGAAGGAAGTGACCTCTATTACCTTCTGTGTGTGGGTTTTTGTCTACATGTACTGTTTTGTCTGTGCACTGTGTGAATGTAGTACAGGCAGGGGCCAGAAGAGGGCATCAGTTACAGACCGGGAGTTACGGAAAGTTGTGACCATCCATGTGGTTGCCATGAATCAAACCTGAGTCCACTGGAAGAGCAGTCAGTGCTCTTAACCCCTGAGTCATTTCTCTAGCCCCCATGAAGTGTCCTCTAAAGGGGTGCTGGGCTGAGAAGAGTGACTGAAATGAGGAACAGGCCAGACAAAGACCTCAGGGAACCTACCAGCAGCCAAGTTAAGGTAATAATGTGATAGACTGAAGAAAAGGGAGCCTGCAGAGGAGAGAGAAACACAGCCTGGGAGGGCATTCCTGTAGGTAATAGCCCCTTACCTACAGGCCCCAAACGTTTGCTCAGAACTTAGCAGTCAGTGTCTTCCACAATATCACAACTCTTTCAGATAACAATTCACTTTCAGGCAACAATTGCAGAAACTCAACACAAACTATTAATTTTCTTTATGTTTATTTAACGTGTGTATGTGTGTTTTACCTGCAGGTATGTATGCTCATCCTGTAGTGGGAATTCATTTCCGACAACAGTTTCAGAGTCTTAGGGTGTGGTTTCTGTATGCAGATGCAATCCCTTATAAGGATGAGGAGGGGTCATGTGTGTGCTTTTGGGGTGAGGGCTGAGACTTGACCTGAGGGTCATCCTGCATCACAGCATCCTGCCCCTGCTTTGCCTTTCAGTGTATGAGTGTTCCCTAAAAAAAAAAAAAAGAATATTTGCTATCTTTTACTCCGGCATTTGAGGACTTCCTTAATCCACCCTTCATCACTCTGTGTGAAAATCAGAAGAAAGCATTAGGTCCCTTAAAACTAGAATTATAAGTGGTTTTGAGTTACCACCTAGGTTCTGGGAATTGAACTTGGATCCTCTGCAAGAGCTACAAGTGTTCTCTTTTATGTTGTAAATATTTATTTATTTACTCGTTTGTTTTTCAAGATAGGGCTTCTCTGTGTAACTTTGGAGCCTATTCTGGCACTTGCTCTGTAGACCAAACTGGTCTGAAACTCACAGTAATCTGCCTGCCTCTACCTCCCAAGTGCTGGGATTAAAGGTGTGTGCCACCACCACCCATCTTAAATAAATATTTATATAACTATTTTATTGATTTTTGGCAATCATGCATCCAAATCCCAATCATTTCCCAGTCCCTCCATATCTGCTCTCACCTCCATAGTCCCCCCAAAAGAAAAATTTTAAAATAATTAGTTAAAAAACAAAACACACAAACAAAAAAACCCACTTTTTGCCTCCATCTTTCCCACCTCTCCAACACTTCTTCATTCATCTCAGTGGCATTGGGACCCTTTTGTCCACACCACTTTACTTGTAAATGTTCATTGCAATGAGTTGTTGGTCTGGTTCAAGGCCTCTGGCTTCTGGTGCTCCATCAACACTGGACCCTCATCAAAATTCCTCCTGGATATCCTGCCGTTGCCCAGAGTCTTGGAGATTCTTCTGCCTTGGTTCTGCAGGACCAGTCCCTTCATGTGCTCTGACGGGTCATGGAAGGGGTAGATGATGGAGTGGGCAAACTCAAAGCCCTGGATGTGAGTCTGGGTAGTAGCTGATTTGGTTAATCTGGGTTCTGGGATTGCTCTGCCTCAGGCAAGGGGTGGAGCCAGCTCTTCCGAGCCCATGCCATCAGGGCCGCCCTCCCACACCTGGCAGCAAGTCTTCTTAACTACTGGGCCACGTCTCCAGCCCTACATGTTGGCTAATTTGACAACAACAAACCAGCCGTTTCATGCCACTGTTCCGTTGCAGATCTGACTGGATGCAGGTGCTGAAGTGATATCTCCACGACCCCATTACTCTTGCATTTTACACATCTGCAAAATTAGAAGCATGTGAATGACTGCCACATCCTACTACCAGCTTGAGAGATGGTCTGCTCCCCTGCTACCAAAGCTATCTGGCCTTGGTGCACCTTGGTAAGTGAATCACAGAAAACACTTCCTTGGGTAGTTGTTTTTCAGCATGGAATCCTTTTGGTGACAGACTCTGTCTATGTGCTCCCCTTTCAAATGAGTTTGTATTTTCACAAGTTGGAGTTTTTGTTAGATGGGGATCTTATCTATTATCCCAGAGAAGAGACAAGGAAGACATCTCTTTTAAAAATTATTTTATCTATTACTTTATTTGTGATGGTGGTGTGTGTGTGTGTGTGTGTGTGTGTGTGTGTGCAGACATACACATGTGGGGCTGGTGAAATGGCTCAGTGGAGAAAGGCACTTAGCACACAGTTCTAGTGACCTAAGTTCAATACCCAGAACCTACAAAAAGTTAGAGAAAAGGCTCTGTGTGTGTGTGTGTGTGTGTGTGTGTGTGTGTGTGTGTTATATTTTATTTTCTAAGTGCTGCAGGGATGCGCATGTACCAAACTGCATGTGTAGAGGTCAGAGGATGACTTGTGGGAGTTGGTTCTCTCCTTCCACCATGTAGCCCCTGGAGACTGAACTCAAGTTGCCAAGCTTGGTGACAGACACTTACACCACTAAGCTATCTCACTGGATCCAAGTCTTCTTTTTAGTGGTGTTAATCTCCTTAACAGCTGCTTTCTTTGTCTCTGTCTTGCGGGCATCTTTAAGCTCACTCACTCTCCTTTCCCAACAAAACTGGAAGGTTTTTTGTTCTCTTTCACTGTAGTGATGACTGACAGCCGT